TAAAAAAAAAATAACGTGAACTACCGCAAGACGGGTGCTTCCCATTACCACTAGTGTTCAGTGTTGTATTATTGCAAAACATATAATAAAATTATAATGAGTACGTGAATTGGGCTCATTAGACGCCCCCTCACGGATCCAAAAAAAAAAAGCCATGGCTTTTGGCCAAGCCAAAAAAAGAAACTAGAGAAAAGTGCTTCGTTTGACGAAGTTAATCAAATACCGAAAAGAAATGTCAAGAGCTTCGACAAAGATTTCAACACCAGGAATTTTTAAAGGCTATTCGAAAACAACTATCGTGTAAAACCAAACATTAATGCAGCTAGAAACAAAGAACATAGACTAGAAGCGAACAAAGAGATTGAGAGGTCCGAAGGGTTCCTCATACCAAAAAAAACGGTATCAGCGAAAAGCCCAGTCAGCAACAAAGACCCATGCTACGAAACAGATAACAGATTCAAGGCGTAGAAAACAGATTCAAGATAACAGATACATGAGCGTAACACAGGAGGGGGAAACTGAATAGGCCAATAGCGGTATAGCTAGATACAATAGCCAGACAACCCATACAATTCGAATGCCCCCAATATATATACTAAAAGCTAATCTTAGGGACATAATTATCTTGCTTAATAATAGCAATATCAAGAAGGATGCGTTCTTACTAAAACAATTCGATATTGACATGATCAGACTTACAACCAAGGATAGCGAAACACACTTCCTTGTAAATTTGGACGACAGTAATCTATTCTAGCACTCTTTTAGAGCATGTTACAAAATATCGAAAGTTATGTGATCGTCTGAAGAAAGCAGGATTAAAATTGCAATCGGAGAAATGTATTTTTCTAAGGAAAAAGGTGACCTACTTGGAGCATGTAATCAGTTCAGACGGTGTAAAACCGGGCCCCGGAAAAATAAGAACGGTACAAGAATTCCCCGTACCTCGTTCAGCAAAGAACATAAAACAATTCTTAGGACTAGCCGGATATTACAGAAGGCATATACCAAACTTCTCCGCTATCAGCAAACCACTCTCTAACCTTTTGAAGAAAGACGTACCATTCAGGTACAGCCAAAAGGCGTCATTCAAAACATTAGTACAATTGTTATGTCAAGAAACACTATTCCAATACCCGGACTTTTTAAAATCATTCGTCGTTACAATAGACGTATCCAATTACGCTATCGGAGGAATATCCAGCCAAGGTGAAATAGGGAAGGCTCTGCCTATCGCATATACCTCGAGATTACTAAACCAAGCGGAACAGAACCACTCGACCATAGAGAAAGAATCATTAGTCATTATATACTCAGTGAACAATTTCAAACCTTATCTTTATAGTACTAGTTTCTTTTTAGTAACAGAGCACAGGCCCTTAGTACGGTTAAATTCTGTGAGAAACCCTACATCGAGATTGATACGATGGTGATTAAAGCTAGCCGAATATGAATATAACATCGTATATAAGGCCGGAAAGAAAAACGTAAACGCGGACGCTTTATCTCGAAACCCCGTGAATCTCCATAAACAGATATTCCCGATAGTAGGAATAAGCTCAAGTGACGAAGAAATGTATATAGCTAGAAATAAACATGCAAGCACTCAAGAATCTAAAGAACCACAAAATAAGAAAGTGTAGAAAATAATAGAAGAAACTGTTCAAGTCCCACCTGATGTATACGATAAGACAGACGAAACTAGTGACAAAACTCCAATCGAAAAAACTTACGCTCACATCGACAGCAATCTAATAGAGATAAACGACAAAATGATAATGTATAACGGGAATATTACCTTCTTTACTACGGCTAACGAAACTTCAGTAGATCTAGACGCAAAAGAGCTAGCAGATAACTATAAATTACCCATCATCAAAGACGCATCCCTTGGAAAAAAAGATTATTAAGACAAATGAAAGGTATTTAATTGCGTTAGCTGTCAACGAAAGAATCGCACTCTCTATTCAACTAGGGACTCTGGACGAAGTCCTTCATTCTCTTCTTGACGCGGCCATCGAACTACAATTTAAAAGATAGCTATTCTCAACAGGAGATATACCCTGGACCTACGTAAGGCGCAAAATTCGTTCGATCTTTTTAGGTAGAGGAACAAAGATCATTATATTAAGGCGTGAGATAGAGATACCTAAAGAAACTGAATTGAAATAATACATGACAATCATTCGACGCCTGTAGGCGGACATAAAAGTGTATCGAAAACTTACTCTAGAATCCGATAAAAATACAATTGGGCAAATTTAAAAAGAGATATTCTAATTATATATAGAAGTGCAGAAGTTGTCAAACGAAAAAGCTTGATAGGTTAAAAACTCATCAACCGATGACTATCAATGACACGCAAGGGAAGGCGTTCTATAAAATACATATGGATATCGTAGGCCCGATGCCCACCACGAAATCCGGACATAGCTATATCTTAACAATGCAAGATCTGCTCAGTAAATATTCTATCGCGATTCCCATCCAACAACCTACATTGGAGGAAATCGCTGATGCATTTATTAAAAATATGCCGATTTGGCTCTGCAAAAGGTATCTTGACCGATCAAGGTATCTTGGTTACCTCACAAGGTAACTTCTTTTCGGAATTAATGAAAGCCATTGGTAAGAAATTCAAAATCCATCAATATCAGACGAGCGCGTACCACCCACAATCGAACGGCTCTATCGAACGATCACATCACGTCCTCGTAGAATTCCTTAAACATTTCATTACCGAAAACAGTGAATGAAAGGATTGGATTGAAGTGGCAATGTTTTCATATAATATAAGCGTACACGATGGAAAGATGTATACACCTCACGAAGTAGTGTTTGGCCAATTAGCCAGAAGGCCGAACGAATCAACCTATGATTTACAAAATGAAACATATGCGCATTACTTGGAAATCTTAAATGAACAGATTAATTGATCACAAGAAGCTGAGAGACAAAATTTAATTAACGCTAAAAAAAAATCAAAAATATACTATGATAAAAAGCAGTTATCGATTTTAAAATAGGAAACCGAGTATACTTTTTGAAGGGAACATATAAAAGTAAACTCGATGACAAATATACCGTACCATTCGATGTAGTAGAAGTATTAAATAAGCACAATACGTACCGATCATGGCAATCGCATTGTACACGCCAGCAGACTCAAGATCGATAAATCCGCAACGATCACACTCCTTTCCATGATGACGGTTAGTAAGATGGTCTTCCATTACTGTCGATCAATTAGAATATAAGAAACGCTAAAGGAGCTAACGGTATTAGTTGCCTTTCGACGCTTTGCAAGACGGAATAGCTTAGAAGTCGACATAAAAAAATCTTTACAATGGAAATCTTTATCTTAATACTATCCTTAGTAAAAGTAGCAGTAACACTAGTAGGATACGATTGCGCCACGCAATTTCTGAACATTACCTCGTATTTCCTCTTAGATAGAACCGACTGTGAAATCCCGAATTTCCAGCAAATTAATAGCACAGGCTACGTACAGCTATCACAGACTGCCGATTACCACTCCGTAAAGGTCTTACAATGTCGTGTAGAAATAAATTTCACGATATTTCATTGCGGCATGCACTCACACGTGTCCATCGTTCACAATAGACGACGGAAATACCTATTCAAACTGACCCATTTGTGCCAGCAGCTGCACTCTACCGGCACTCCCTCTCACTAGACCCGAACGTATTCATATTAGGCCTAAAGAAAAGCAGCATCATCACAAAAAGACTTGAGCGGTACCGTCACGACAGACGGTACTTGCAAAACCTCTCAATATAGCGACCTCTATGGAACATGGGACGAGGTAGTAGTACAAGCCACCATTAGGCTCACTCTACAAGACTATTTCGCCACTGTCAAGACAAAGGCCAATCAAATCCATCTAAAATCTGGAACCGCATGCGCATTGGACGGAGAAGCCTGCCACGACTTATACGAAAGCGAAAGTTACTGGTCGAACATTCCGACCGACAGCTGTGATTTCTATGAATATGACGTTCTTTATGAGAGTCCAGCAATGAAACTAATACCTGCCGAATCATCTCAAAGACCCATACTTTACACAGTAGCAACGAAAGACGTCACGTTTGCTCTAACACGAACCAGTGAGTTTTCTTTTGTGTGGATACTCTATCATCAAAACAGAACACCCTAAGCTATTCTTCATAGAAATATCATCTGGAAGATCATTTAAAGAAAAGACTAAAACTTCCGTAGAAAACTTAAATATCCTTGCCTATGTGAATTCGAAATTTATATATGTAGAAAGACATCTTAAGACACAACTAACCTCGTTATATGTCAACATTACGCGCCAAAAATGGTCGCAACAAATTCTCAGGAATGTCCTTTCTTTAGCATCAATTGCACTCGACAAAATGGCTTATACCTTAATGAAGCAACCAGGATACATGGCAGTCATCGCGGCAGAAGTAATGTATATTACAAAATGTATTCCTGTGGAAGTAAAGGTCAAGCAGACTGAGGAATGCTATAAAGAATTACCGATCGCTTATCAGAACGACTCATATTTCCTAGCATCTAAAACACGTATCATCCTAAAAGAAATTTCCATAAAAGATGGCAACGAATTATTATCCAAAATATACAATCTACATGGAACCTGGTATAGAGTGACTCCGAACCTGATCGAATCAATACCTCGACCAGTAATTCAATCTCTAACGAAGCCATAGTGAAGATACATCGACCTTGAACACCTGAGAACAAGCGGTATTTACTCAAACGAGGATCTAAATAAACTCAGGTCACACATCATGGAACCAGCTGAAAAACCTGCCATTATCAACACTCTTGCTATGATTTAGTGGAAAACATATACTTTCAGACAAAAATTTCTTTATATAATCTAATGGATGAGGAATTATTAAGTAAGATGGCATCAAGTATGGCACAACGATTCTGGGGAGATTTCGTAACTTTCGGATCAGCAAGCGCCGGAGTCGTAGCCATTTTCATGGATCTTCGATTAGTCAAGTTCATCGTCGACACACTCATCCATGGGTACGCATTACACAATATTTATGCGTAGAGCCTACACCTCCTAGGTGCCCTATGGAGTTCAATAACAAACCTCTCCTCCTCGCCAAAAGAGTGGAACAAGAAGAACCACACATTGAAATGGCACCCGAAATTACTGCCCTCCACGAGGAAAAGAGAGAACCCGCAACTGACGCACTCAATCGACTAAGCACATTATTTGAATTAAACTCATACATAAAGATAAATGTTAAAATGTACGTATATCTACGCACATTTTTAAATAAGAGGGGAGTATTACATCCCACATTCCTCTCATACTTCGATTTAAATGCCTCTTATCTACCTATAAAAATCTTAATCTTCTGGAAATCTGTTGCTAATAATATTATTGTAAATCACTCATTAGGTATAAGAAGCGATCAGAAATACATCACAAATTTATCAGTCTTTCTATTATACAAAATATTTTTACAATACATTATCTGTAGCGCATCGGACGGATCCCACGATACGTGACGCACTAAATGGAAGCCATAAGATGCGCCTCATGTAACGTACCAAACGACCATATTGTCGGTAGGTCGAGGCAACGCCTCATCCCCATAGCAAAGCTTCCGCAGGTAGCCTCATTCCCACCACCGACAACGCTACGCTTTCATTACGCTAACGTTACGTACGACGTCACTCGTTTGTTATATATATATAAATATATGTATATAGTTCACACAAATAACAAATGTATAGAATATGTTTTTCTAAAGGACTGTATAAGTTTTAAGAGACTTATTTCTATAAGTTACTAACATTATTATACAAAATAGACGAGCCCGACGTAAAGGGAGTCATTAATAATACAAACTAATTCTATAATAAAACGAACTGATATATATTTTTGGGATAATACTTTTTCGATGATTATTCTTGTTTATTCTCGGTTATTTTTGAAAGTCATTCTCGAAGGTTATTCCTGACGGTAATTGTAAAGTATTAATAAATTAATATTGTTAAGTTAAAATCAGTGTGTCTTAAATAACCCCGGCTGAGTTACCAACAACACCTTGCGACGTTCTAAATTATTTTCAGATTACATTAATTATTTTCATGAGTCTCAAAAACTTTCTGCCGCGCAGTCGACAAGTTCAAAGATAATAAAAACTATCTGTCCATAAGACGTGAATCCTTAAGCTAAAGTTATTCTTTTACTTTTTGCATATGAATCGCACGAGTTAATATATCCTATCCTCGAATCCTAGCTTTATTTATGCTGAGAACATTATGCGGTTGTAGAAAGTACCATTTAAGTCGACTATTCGCGTCGCTTTACAATTCGGTTCGTTATCACAAAGACTTGGGAATTGTTTCACCGGAAACTACTGACCAACACGAGGCCGTACCTTACCGCCTCATACCCCTCATGTCGAGAAGATTTACTACCCAAGTCGACTATCGCTGTCCGACCCTTGAGCGAAGCTCACCCAAACAATTCCATATCGTCTAATACCGATCGACATTAGGAGATCGTTTGAACGGAAGACAGCTCGTATTGATGTCCGTCCCATGCCAAGAACTACACGTAGCAGGTAACGGTCAAAAAGGACAAATCTCACAAGAGTAGGAGCACCTCAGGTATATAACTTATATATCTTCTTTGGGGCCCGTATCACGTGGGACGTTACAGGACGCTGCTAATTAACTGTTGGTCAACGGATGCTATTTATTTTTCGTTTTTGTGTAGCATAATGTCTCGTAATCGATTTGAATATAGATAAAAATTATTCAAACAATGTTTCATCGAAGGGTATATATAGTCCGATAAAATACATGCAGAACGGGATATCAGGAAATATCAGATTATTTTAATTTTTTGGCCGCCTCGTTCTCGAACCTATCGATTTTTGAATTTTTGCATAAGGAAAAGAAAGCAAAAAAGGCACCTTTACAAGTTCATCCGCAGATCAAGACTATAAAGAAGATTGTGCGTTCTATGTTTTACCAAAAAAAGAGAAATTCTCGAACGCCAGGAAGCGAAAAAAAAGGTAAATATGAATGCAACATAATGTCCTAATTGTTTCAAATAAATTGTGTTTGAACTATTTTAGCGAATACCATGCTAAGTAATATAATGTTATTTATCATTTTAAATATATATTTATTATTTTATATATTTTATATTTAAATGTGCCAATTCCATTAAATACTTGTTACAAATGAAACTGTTTAAATTCCTAGTAAAATCCTATTTAATTGAACGAAGGAGATCATCAGTCATTTGCGGGTAATGGGAATATGAAAGCATAGCGTAATTCAAATCTGGGTAACAAGGTATTCAAAGTACTGGATTTGTAACCTTACAACACGATTTCGTCATTCTTTATGATGTATCAGAATGAAATTTTATATAATCAATATGGTATATTTTTTGAAATATTTTTCAGGTTGACAATATCACTCTACCGTGGACAGAACTTTCATTCATTAAGTGTCAAAAATAGTTTATACCGAAATAAAGAACGTGAACTAGCTCAATATAATCTGGACAATAAGGCTGTAGAAATTGTAAGTACGTATGTACGGATGCGAGCGGGAATGTAAATGCTATGAGGTAAAGGAAAAAAATGAAGGTGCAATCTTGAGTCAAATCTATGCGAAGAGAGATATCAGAGTAAAGAGTAACAAGTTCGATCCTGAATGAATCAACGAAGTCACGACCGAGTTACACTCTTGGACAAAAAGGTAGTTAAAAATTTTCGTGATATTCTTAAAATATAAATATGTAGTTTCAGAAACTTATAATGAAAGTGAGAATACAATCATTGCTGAAATAATGCGTAGAATAATGAGAAACAATGAGTATAATGGTCGATTAGCAAGAAGAATACCGTACATCAATGAAATAAATAGGAAAAGAAAATTAATTTATTCCAAAAAGTACGTTTAGAAACTGCAAAATTGCTGGAAAGATGTTATTTTTGCTGATGAAAATAAATATTGTATTTTTGGTTCAGACAGATAAAGTATAGTGTGGCGAAAAATAAGTCAAGCTTTGAAACCAACAAATTTAAAATTTACTTTTAAAGATATGAGTGATTCTGTGATTGTATGGGGATCTATTTCAGGTGCTGAAGTTGATGAATCCTCAAACATATTTTAAAAAAGAACAAATATTTGGACCTTCTGAAGAAAAATTTTCGGTTAAGTGCAAATAAGATTGAACAAAAATATAGCACATTTAAAAATTTTCATAATATTCTTGAAATATAAATAGATACAGTGCCAGATAAAATGATAGGGCATTTGATGTATTTATATAATTCATATAACATAACAATATGTACATTTTACACACTCTATGTGTTAGATATCCACGAAATATCCACATAAAATTGCAAGGTCATATCTTGTACATGAAAGAAATTAGAGAAAGAAGTGTAAACATCGGCTGACCTTACGTAAAATTTCGATTAGAATTTCCTGCATACACATAATTTATAGTTGCCTCGTCTTTAAACTTCACTTTTCTATAATATACGTACAATAAATTTTTCAATATTCACTTGTTTTTTTTATTATTTGTTTTCTTCAAAAAATGTACAGTCTGTCTTATCTACCAGAACCGATCACTTTTGATAATTTTTTTGGTTTCTTATAACAATTAACAGATGTATAATACAGCAAATAGCATAAAAATAGGCTTCGTTGGTTATTTTATCATAAAATTTGTTTTTCTTGTTTGTGTACACACACGTGCATACAATATTTTTTTACGTGAAAAATTAAGCAATAAATAATACACTATAGTAAAAGAAAACTTTCTTTTTTCGTTCACCTTTCCGCCTCTTCACCTTTCAATCTCTTTCTTCTCTTTCTCGATGTTATTTTCGAGTTCTCTCTCTCTCTCTCTCTCTTTCTCTCTCTGTCGACGTCTCTCTTACTGTTTCCCTCTCTATCTGTCTACCATTCTCTCATTCTTTCTCTCTCACTCTTTCTCTCCCACTCTCTCTCTCTCTTGCTCTCTCTCTCTTTCTCTCTCTCTCTTGCTCTCTCTCTCTCTCTCTCTCTCTCTCTCTCTCTCTCTCTCTCTCTCTCTCTCTCTCGTAGCATATATTGTGCTCACAAGGAAGCGGCTTTTCGACAATTACCGAAGCAAAACAATGGTTAAAGAAACACGAGAGAATAGGATACGTTATATTCGTTAGTGTCGACAAAAAGAACAAGAAAAAGGTAGAAAAAAAAAGAAAAAATAGAGGATAGATATCCCCCATGATTTTTTCTAATATTTGCCGGAGTTTCGTCCCGCATTGTAAACCAGAAAGGTTTTTTTATGTTATATCGGTGCCATGATGACAACGTTCAAAAAAAAAAAGAAAGAAAAAGTAAAAAGAAAAAATGAAAAAAAAAAAAAGAAATAAAAAGTTCAATAGTAGATGCGAAACTGGTCTCCCGTTATGAGAAAATAAAAAATTACCACTGGAAGATTACCAAGTCGCTTCTCTAAAGCAACGAGTTTTCTTGACTCGATAGAAAACAAAAAATTGTTCTTGGACTAGATTCATGTTTGGAGGAAAAAATTTCCGTGCACCTAAAATTTGTTCTCTTTTGCGATAAGATTACGATATGATTTCTCTCTTTTTCTCTCTATTTCTTTTTTTGTTTGTTTGCTCGTTTATTTGTAGGTTTTTTCTTGATATTTTTCATTTATATTTTTTTTTAATATAATTTCCGACACCCGAATATCTGAACAGAAATTTATTAGCAATCGCACTTAGCTGATTAATTTTTTTGCTCAAACGATTGAAAAAAAAAAGAAAATATATAAAAATTAATAAGATTATTGATAATGAATCATATTGGCGATCATTATCGAAGATCTCTAAGTATAAATCTTCTTCCTATTTCTTTTTTCTCATTTTTTCTTTTTCTTTTTAAATTATTAATTATCATAAAACTAACAAGTTATTTACGGAATAAATTAAGTTAATAACCACTTATCGAAGATTTAGGGAACTTGAGACAATTTACTAAACATTATAAAGATAATAAGCGATAGAGAGTAAATTATATACGATCATAGGTACAATTATAAGACGTCTCATTTTCGGAATTACAAAAACGTAGTTTCGCTGTTTGTACTAAGATGTCACTACAAATTCAGATACTACACAAAGAAAGAGAGGCCTATACAGGCAACGACACGTCCTATTCAATCATAACATTCCTTGTCCTCAATAATAGCACAATGTCGAGTATGTAAGAAAAAAAAAGAAGAAAAAAAAAGAAACGAAAAAGTGTAGTATGCGAACTCGCGGGTTATGCCTCCACAAACATTGTTCAAGCTTTCATAACTCTAGATATTGATTTATTTGCTACTAGAATAAATATTAAATGTAGAATATTTTATTCTTGATTTAAAGATCCAAAAGGCTCCTATGTGGATACTTTTGCATTAAGTTGGAATAATACATTTTTTTATGCGTTCCCTTCTTTTACTTGAATACTGCGAGTTTTGCAGAAGATTATTGCAGAAAAGTCAGAGGGTATCAGTTATCCCATTCTGGAAGACTCAACTTTGGTTCCGTATCTTTGAGTCCTTATTGATAGAGAAACCCATCGTGTTGAAGCCTAATAAACAGTTACTTTTATCTCCTTGCAGACACAATAACATCCATTGCTTCAGAAATTGTCCTAGGTTGCCGGGAGATTATCAGGACAGCCTTCAGAAGGAAGAATCTTTCACTTTAAACTTCTGAAATAATATTATCCTAATCAGAGGGCACCTTAAACTAATACTTCAAATCAATAAACCCATGCTGGAGATTTTGCATAAAAAAAAAATCAGACTCATATGAAATCCCAGAATCTGGATTATTAGAATTTCTGTTACTGAGGTTTGGGACAGGATCTTCCTACGGAACCTTAAATTCAATGCAAGTAGCTATATCTTTGATATCTAAGTTTATCGTCTAACGTATTAATCAACAGATTTTCTTCTGAAAAAGCATTCTCCCTCTCTCTCTCTCTCTCTCCTTCTCCCTCTTTCCCTCTCTCCCTCCCCCCTCTCTCTCTTACTCTCTTACGCATATTATCACATAGCTAGCTAGTACCCATCTTTCACAAAGGTAAATACATCCAAGTAACAGAAACTATGAGAGAAGGTGGAGAAGAAGATGGTGGTACAGATGTAGGTGAAGGAGGAAGAGGTGGTGAAAATGTATGTGGAGTAGGAGGAGGAAAGTGGAAAAGAGAAGGAGAGAGAGAAATAGAGAGAAAAGTATAATTCGAATACCAACTCAGATGACATATTCGATCCAGCCTCGCATCCGTATATTTTGCAAAACCAGGTAGACGACACGTTCAAAATTTCTCGAAACGAATATTAGGACGAATACGTGTGACCAAATTTGGAACAAAAAATCTGATATCTTTGGTAATGAAAGAAAAAGACAGTACTAATTTAGATATCGAAATTATGAATCAGCCTTAGAATCATTTTTACCAGTACCGAGAGAGCTTGATCTAGGAACAATTAGTCAGAGTCTATCGAAATTAATGATGTGCCATGGGCATACATATAACAGAGTCTAGGAGAAATATTGTATATAAGAATTTGGTAAAGACTCCCGTAAGAATTTAATACGTGAAAATCACTCGTAAACTTTAGGAGGTCACAAGGGGATAACAAGAACTACAACAGAATGAGACAGAAATACTTGTGGGCATGTATAAAACATCAGATTCAAGTTTTCATGTAAAATCGCTTAGACTGCCAATTGAAGGAATTCGTTAGGGTCAACATTTGATAAAGTTGGGTTAGATGTAATGGGTACTCTCTCTCAGACTTAGAAAGGAAATAAATATATCATTACCTATCATAAACACTACTTTTATTGACATAGCAAATGATACCAAATTGAATATGTAAATTGGAAACACCACGCTCCATCTTATCGGATCAGGCCGCTAACTATTGACATTCTTTGATAAAAGCGATAGCACGCAAATTCAAAATCAGACAGTATAGAAAATGGCGTTCTTTCCTCAATCTAATGGGTCTATCGAGTTGTCGCATCAAGTATTAGTAGAATATCTGAAACAATTTACTATCAGGGAAAAGGATTGGGACGAATGGCTAGATACTGAGATGCTCTTGTACAGCACATGAGAGAACACGCTTTACATCCAATGAACTTATATTCGGTAGAGTGATTTGGATGCCGACATCTGATCCGCCATTAGACGATGACATGATTAAACATAATTGGAAAATATTCCAAGTATGTTTAATCTTAATTATTAACTAATAAGCTAAGATAATTAATAGGATAAATCGAACTCAAAAGATAACACAACAAAATGTTTTAAGGGCAAAAAAAATATCGAAAAAATATTATGACAGAAAAATAAATCTTAAAATATTAAAGGAAAAAGGTGACTCAACACTGATCACCTCAACCCCCAGAAACTCGAGGGGCAATTCATTGGCTTACGTTGGCTTGACCTCATTACCACCCCTGTCCTGCACGGCCAATGTACTTGAACGATGGTATCTATTTGCCGTGTAAGAGAAAGAGAAAGGCAAACAGAAAGAAAAAGAGAATGAAAGAGTTTGAGTGGGTAGAATATGAGGGAATGGTTGAATGAAAATACTCCTAATTACCAGGCGAGTAATATAGGCGAGAAAAAGAGATGTAAAAATTTAGGAAGCTTTATTTGCTGCATTCTTCGATCTTCCTTTTATTCTGTATGCAAAAAAAAACTAATTCGATTCATTATTTTTTTATTATTATTAATTTATTCGTGTACCGTGATGAATATTATATATTATAAAACTATTATATATAAGCATGTTTTTTATAGAAAATAGAACAAAAGAAACAAAAATAGGAATTATATATTTCTTTAAAAAAGAAAAAAGATTATTTTGATGGTGGATTGGTGTAATTACGCCTGAATTTTCCAACGCCATCTAACAATCTGTCCTGGAAATAGAAAACTGATAGAGAAATAATAGTGCTGTTCTTATTAGACGTATAAGGTTAAGTTATCTTAATTTTATAATCAATCTTTGTTTAAAAAATAGATTGATAGATACGTTTGATCCTATGGCTTGTTATAGTGATATACTTTCGTTATGTGTAACAATTATGTTAAGTTAATACCAATATGCAAGAAAATCATTTGCATAATCATATTTTCAATATATATAGATATATCATAAAATAATATTTTACTATAATGTCTTTATTACGAATTATTCGATATAACGAATTATTCGTTACTTTTCCGTTAACTGCAAGGTAATTATTCTTCTTTAAATCATTATAAGCTTTTAGCAAAAGAAATTGTACTTGATGTTACTATTTTTTTCCTTTTTTTTACAAGTCATCTTTGTATATTATTGCTAATATTGAACATTATTAAGGATAATAAATATTAAAATCTTTTTTCAGAGAATTCCTTTCGAGTAATTCGTCCAAAAGAAAGAGCAATGTCGTCGTTCAATTCAAGAGAAACTTCTACGCTACAGTTAGTTCATCTATTAAACAAGAGTACAAAAAACAAAAGATTTTATCAAACATTTATAAAGTTGGTTGAAGAACATTAGCAACAGGTACAATTAAACATTCAAAATAAACAAATGTCATGCAAAGCAAATAAACAAAATAATGTTTTAATAAGAGATATTGACCAGCAACATTTTTCATGGAAAGACATTTTGAAATATCTATATTCACATATTTGATATTTATTGATTTTTTTGTCAGTAAGTATGAAAATATTGATAAAAACTAACACAATACAATTTTCTTCCTTTTTTATTTAAAAATTTTTTGTTTCTTTTGCTCTATTTTCTATAAAAAACATGCTTATATATAATAGTTTTATAATATATAATATTTATAAAAATGATGTAACAAAAAATATTCTGATCAAATTAAATTATATGTAGATATATGTAGAAAATTTATTTATCGATCAAAAGAGATTAAATTTATTAGGTAACATAAATTTAATTAGTTATGCGAGGACTCTGTATTGTGATACTAGATGCGATACTTTCTACCGCCTTTATGTAAATTCATCACTGTATATTGTATCACTATATTCAATATATTTTTTATTTGTAGCCAATAATGGTCGGAGGAAAGACAAGAAAGAACTGTCGGGGAATATAGAATTTGAAAATTTGAAATTTAACTACCCAAGTTGATCGAATCACGTTATTTTGAAGAATTTTAATTTAGATATTCTTTCTATACGATGTCAACGAGTATAGCATATCTATTGATAAATGGGACATTAGGTTTCTCCATTCTAGCTATATTAGAGGTATTGTATTAGCGCATATAAATTAAAAACCTGTACTTTTTGCGACTAGTACAATGGGGCATATTTGTCATGGAAAACAAGATGCGACGGACGAGAAGATAAATAATGATATATGAAAAAAAAAAATAAATAATATATGAATACAAATTTCAATATTTTTTCAAAGTATTTCATTATATATTGTACATCATTTAATGTTACAGATCATAAAAGCGGCAAAAGAAGCTAATGCTCATGAATTCATTACAAAATTTCCAAGTAGTTATGAAACTTAAAGTGACGAGAGAGACGCAATATTATTTGGTGGAATAAAGCAACCATCGATTTTACTATTAGTCGAAGCAACGATATGTAAAAAGACTAAATATAATTAGTCACATATCTTATTGTGTATTCTGTATGAATTTTATCTTTTTTAAATTTAATGCATTGGATTTTGAAAGCAAAAAAATGGTTCACAGTGCGTTAGAAAATGTAACTAGAAATAGGTTAGTAATTGTTCATAGACTATTGTTCATACTATTAAACCTGCTTATGTTACTATTGTATTACAATATGTTATTCTAGAGATAGGTTGAAAAATGAATCGGTGTTCTTTCACTATCTGCGCATAGCTACTTTATTTTGCAATATTTTGTTCTTTCTTTTTCCTTTTTTTTTTCTTCTTTACAACCTACAATTAAAAATGAACTATAAGACATTGACAATTGACAATTAATGTTTTTTTTCTACTAAAAATAATAACAATAATAATACAATGTAATAATAATAATGATAATAATAATAATAATAATAATAATAATAATAATAATAATAATAATAATAATAATAAAAATGTGCATAAACATTATTTATATACATAAAAATATTATTTAATCAATTTTATATTATAATATTAAAGCCAATTAGTTTCGACTTATTCTGAGTAAGAAACAATATGAAAACAAATGCATAACGATCATTAGATAGTAAGACAAGAAGAAACTATAACGAACAAAAACAAAAGAAATGTTTTTCACTTTTCATTAGGTATTGTTTCATTATTTGCATTCCGTTGTTCGCCACTGCGACAGCATCCATGAACAACTCTGTATTTTTATACATGTAGCAAGATATTTTGGTATATGCTTATTGTAATCAATCTCGAGAAATAATCCTGGAATAGCTGATAGCTCATAGTAAAAATGACTCGGAGTTGTTGGTATTAAAAATTGCTCAATGTGCAAAAGATTAGAGGTATCTATTGATGGGCGATTATGTGTCGAAATATTAAGAACACCATTTAAGTGTTCGTGCATAAAACCACACGTAAAATGACATTTTTACTTTTGTTATCATAAATTACCGTCATCATATGTCTCATGATGTATATGGAATAAATATATTCTTTTTCTGCTTCTTATTATTATATTATTATATTACATATTATTATTATTATTGTAATAGTAGTAATAATAATAATAATATGAAATAAATTTCTACAGTGGAATCCATAACAAAATAGGACTAGGAAAGAAATTTCGCAGACATGGAAACGAATATTGATCTTTACTAAAAAAAATAAATAATATGTATGTCACTGATATAATTAGTAAATTAGTTTCAGTTGATTAAATATATTACCATTAGAATTCTGTAAAAAAAAGCAGAATATATTATATAAAAAATAAAAATGTATGTATATAAATATATAAAATCATTTTAATTATACTTAAATAAAGTTTTTTTCGATAAATATGATAATCTACAAAAATTGGAAATAATTTCACCAAGAATAGTTTCTTTTTCATGTTACGCAAATTGTCGGTAATGGTTCTAATATCATGGATATCAGGAGTCATAAATAATTTAATAAATTAGTTCATATTATAAACATTGTAATGAACATGTGAAATAAATATCGATCAGTCAAACAGAACGATGCTTTTCGATATAAATATTCACACGCATATATGCAACTGATAAATCAAAAATAGATAGATAGTTATATACATGCATACATACATACATACTTACATACATACATATATATTAATATAAATATTATATTCATAGAAGTGTGAAATTATAAATGGGAAGATAGGGCTAAGAAGAGAGAAGTAAATACGTGACGTTGAGATGAGTCGTTTATAAAATTATAAACTATGCGAAGAATCAACTATGGCAAAATAATAGTGGAGCAGTGAGTATGTTTACTGTTTGTAGGAGGGAGTAAGAAAGAATAAAATGTATAGGTTCTATATAGAGCGAATAATCGAATGGGAAGAAGAGTTAGCGAGTAAGGGGGATGAAGTAAGAGAGAGAGAGAGAGGGAGAGAGAGAGAGTTATAACGAATGAGTGAGAGGGAAGAAAGCATGTGGAACCGGCCAAAAGCAAGTGTGTGTGTGTCGAAAGATAATTCCGACCCACTTGGATTACCCACGTGCTCGAATTTTATTTCTACACGTGTGTGCGTTTTTTTAACTTTATTTTTATTTATTTATCTTTTTCGAAAATCTTAAATAACAATTAACGAACAAGTTCAATGTTTCAATTTGAATTTTTCATAGTCTCTCATTGACGTATTTTCTAAACGGATAAGACTAACATGAGATTTGTCCATATCGCTCATCTCGATGTTTCTTTCTCTCCCCCTCTCTAGCTCTCTCTCTCTCTATCACAAGTTCACGATATCGCGACAGTCTATTGCCCGTCCAGTAAAACCAGTTGCAAGAGCAGATTTATACTGATTCAAGGACATGAACTAACAAAACGTTTCGACCCTTAATATATTTTCAAATGCAACATTTGCTCGTGGAACAGATGCGTTTACCACAGACGATCAGTTTACATTTATAAAGAGGTTTTCATAAGGGAAACCTGTTGCCAGCTACAATTAATTCTCATTTTTATTTGTTCGCATTATAATGTATTTCCCATCGCAGATATGCCTACATATGCACGTATATATACATTATATATGTAGTCTCAATCGTGCATCGGCAACAGAAACTACGAAAAATTTCCAAAACAGAATAATTGTAATAGTAAACCTTCATTAATTATATTTACAATGATATATTCCCTTCATATTATTAATGTTCTGAAATTTATAACTATTTTTTTCGTTCAGTAATTCGTTATACATTTCGTTTAATAGTTTCATTTTAAATTTGTCGATTTTTCGTTCTTTCTGATATTATACTTTTATAAATTCAATAAATATTTATTAATTAAAATGAAAAATATATAGGAATATATAAATATATATATATATATATATATATATATATATATATATATATATATAATATTTCGGATTGATTATGGGAGGTGATAAACGAAAATATGTTTTTCTGTGAACAAAGTGATAAATCTTTATTTGTTAATTAATGCTGAGTTTTTGATTAGTCATACCTGTGAACAAAGAAACGACTAATTACGTTTATTATTCACACTGTTAAATTTTATTTCTATTATATAATGAATCTTCTTCTAGCTCTCGTGTTGCTTTTCTCTTCTATGTTATATTTCATACTGCCCGTTTCTATTCCTAATCTTAACGACTCCATTTAAAGGTCACAAAAAAAATTGTAAATAATAAAGGACAATAGAAGGGCGGACTATGAGACGCGAGGCAAATCTACCTGAAGAAAGTATACTTTCTTTACATATATATATACACACACATACAGCACGAATACATAAAAGAGAGAATCTAATATAAAGTAAAGAACATGAATATATGCAGATTTTTTAAAATATATGTATAGGCATATAAAAATAATTAAATCTATATAGTATGTGTTAATATAGTAATTTAGTATAATATAAAAAATTATCGTAGTATATATATATTTCCATTCAAATATTTTTTTGAAAATATGTAAAATACACATAGTACTACATATTAATATATTCTAAATATATTTTATACGTAATAAAAAAAATGTACTAACAAAACATAATGCATACGAAAAAAAGAAA